CTGTTATCAAGAAATCAACCAATAACAAATGATGGCGCGAGTGTGGGGAGAAAGGAACCCTGCTCCATTGCTGGTGGGAGTGCAGACTGGTGCAACCACTGTGGAAGTCAGCATGAAGATACCTCAAAGAACTAGGACTAGAGGTCCCATTTGACCCAGCTATTCCCCTGCTAGGTATCTTCCCCAAAGAATTAAAAGAATCACACCACAGTGATATATGTACACCCATGTTTTTTTTTTTTTTGGTACTGGAGATCAAACTTGGGACCTTGTGCTTGTGAGGCAGGCGTCGAAACCACTAAGCTAAACCCCTGGCCCTGAAATGTAATTGTTAAGGCAAACTGACATGAGACTTCCAAGTACTACTTTCACAATTGCCTATGAATTTATTATTGTCTCAAAGTTAAAAACCAAGAAGTTACATAAGAAAAAGAACTAAGAAAACCAGACCCATCACACCAGTGCTCAAAACCTCAGATGGCTCACCTCATCCCAGGGTCTTTACTCTTTCTGTCCGCTCCCTAACTGGAATGTTCCTTTTCTCAGATTTCTGCATCATTTGTGTTCATGGTCACACGTCATTTTTTTCTTAAGAAGGCTTCCAGGACCACAGTGTCTAAAATAGCATCTCAGGCCGGGGATTTAGCTCAGTGGTTCTGCCACCTGCCTCGCAAGCACAAGGACCTGAGTTCGATTCCCTGTACCAAAAAAAAAAAAACCAACAACAAAAATAAAATAAAATAGGGCTGGGGATTTAGATTAGTGGTTTCGCTGCCTGCTGTGCAAGCACAAGGACCCAAGTTCGATCCCCGGTACCAAAAAAACCCCCCCAAAAAACCAAAAATAAAATAAAATAAAATAGCATCTCTTCGTCATGCAGCAGTCATTCTCTTCTTGCCATGTTCTATTTTACTTCATGATGTTTGTCTATTACCACTCACCCCAACTGCCTGCTCTGTGGTAGTGAAGCAAAATATATGCAGAAAAAGAATTTTCTGAATTGAGCTTTGAATTTCCAGAGATAACATGACCAGGCATATAGTGAAAGTTTAGGAATATCTGATGAAAGAGGAAATCTTTTAATGGAGAATATTCTATAGAATTGAGCCACAAGACAAACTGTATGGTAAGCACAAAAGATTAAAAACGACCACTTCAAAATGCAAAAATATACCATTTTATATTTCCATCAAAAATGGTAAAAGAGCTAGTTTCTTTGCATCCTTACTAAAGTTTTTTTTTTGGGGGGGGGGTACTGGGGATTGAACACAGGACGTTTCGCTTTCGAGGTAAGCATCAGAACCACTGAGCTAAATCCCCGGCCCCCTTACTAAAGTTTTAAACTCTTACTTCTCCTCCTCTTTCTGTCACTGCCCTAGCCAACAGTTTGCCTCTTCTGTGCCTGGCCTTTAAGAAGAATGGCAACTTCTTCCATCTTGGTCTCAGCTTTGGAAAATGATCATTAGACACAGAAGGAGAGAGGTACAAAGGATCACAAGGCACCAGACATGTCAGTAAAGAAGCCACCTTGGAAGTAGGTCTTGAGGTGCAGCTACTGCAGCTAACAGCACAAGGATCAGCAATGAATCACACAGACAAGCCCTTCCTAGATTCCCAACCTACAAAATTGTGTGCCAAGCAAAAACTGTTATTTAGCAACAGCCAATCAGAGTATCAGCAAGAAAGTATTTCTTAAGACTAAACATAGGGGGTCGGGGATTTAGCTCAGCAGTTCTGCTGCCTGCCTCCCAAGCTCAAGGTCCTGAGTTCAATCCCCGGTACCAAAAAAAACAAAGAAGACTAAGCATAGGCCTAGGGTATGGCTCAGTGCTAGAGCACATGGCTCCCACACACAACTGAACTCCCTGGGTTCAATTTCTAGCATCATAAAAAACGAATAAAAAATTTTAAAAGCTAAGCATAAAGTAAGTTATAGGCAATCAAAAAGCAATATAATGGTGGCCACGGTGGCACACGCCTGAAACCCCAGCTACCCAGGAGGCTGAAGCAAGAGAATCACAAGTTCAAAGCCAGCCTAGGCAACAGCAAGACCTTGTATCTAAATAAAACTTTAAAAAGCTGGGGATGCAGTTCAATGATAGAGTGCTTGCGTAGCATGCCAGAAGCCATGGGTTCAAGTCCTTAACAAAAACAAAAACAAAATCAAAACAACGTTACATGATGGCATACAATGCAACACAACTGTCAAATGAGCATGAACGTAAATAAAACAGATCTAGACCATCTTTGTGTGTTTCCGCATGTAGCTATCAACACAATGGGGCTCATTAAAGGGGAAAGAAGTGAGGGGTGAGGAACCGCAAAGAGGAAGACATACATGTAAAGGAAAGGACAAAATACAGGTATGTTCTGATTCATCTGCCATTCTTAACACAGGTCAAACTTTAACACTGACTACTACATCCAATAAGGGCTTCCCAACTAAGAATCTAGAGACTAAAAATTCCAAGGTAAGTGAAGTGATCAGAGAAAGAAACCAAAGGTGATGTACATGGATGTTTTGAAGGAGATTTAAAGAAAATCTAGTGACACGGAAAGACCTATTATTCTCTAATCTACTGAGCTTAAACTAAAACACAAAGTCTACAATAAACAAGTGTTAAAAAATAATAAGCATCACTAAAGACAGAATAGGCTATTTCTGGAGACAAAAGACTATCTTTTCCACAAGTTGAAAGAAAAAACCCTATGTTTGCCAGGAAAATGTAGGATGTGATTCTGTCTAAATTTGAGGGGCTTTCAAGGTTTCTTCCAGGACAACTCTGCAGTGTCATGACCTAACGATTATTCCCACTATAAACACTGCAACTGCTCATCCCCATGGTAATTACTGAAGCTGCCTGCTGTCTATCGTCAGTGTGGCAGACACAGTGTACTAACATCACTTGACTTTTACGACAGTGCTGCAATTAGGTATTATCTTGAGATGGTCAATAAGATGAAGTAATACATGTGCAAGGTTACTGTCATATAGTAAAAAATATAACTGGTTTTTGCCACTGGTTCCTGACAAAGAACCTCAAAATACTTGGAATTTTCTGAGTGACAAGGGTGGCTTTGCTGTGCTAATGAGGTAAATCCGGTGGCCTCCTAGGTAGTTTCAGAATGGTGACTGGTTACAACAAAAAAAGACCAAAAATGTGGTTAGAGGGTTGGAACTTCAAGCTGCCTCTGTGGAGACTGAGTTCAATCATGTGGCCGATGAGCTAACCAAGCATGTCTATGGAATGAAACCCCACAGCTTGATAAATGTCCCAGCTGGTGAGCACATTGATGTGCTGAGGGAATCGGAGCTCTGCACCCTATATACAGCCCTTGTTATAGAAGATAACCCCAAGGAGACCACCTTCCCGATGCCTGTGAGTTGTGTCCTGTGAAGTCCACTGGTGCTGGCCCGTCAGATGGCACAGTCCTTGCAGGACTGACTCACGACTCTACAACGTCAGCCCGGAGGTACAGTCTCTCTAGCTGGTATCAGACCAACTACTGAGAAATAAGGTTTGACAGTCGGAGCTCAAACCCAGTCTGATTCCAGGGACAGTATTTTGTTATTACCAAAATTAAACTATAAACCCTAATAGGTGAAGGACCCTAGTTAACAAGACAGACTCCACATTGCTGCTTGACCCACCTGCCTGCCCTTTAGATGAACTCAGAAGGAGGAAGCTTAGAAACCTCCTCCCCTTAGAAAGTCTCTTTAGAAATAACAATTAATCAACTATTGTTTTACAAATGTTCTAACAGCAGGACGTTCCGCTTCTGTACCTTCTGCTTGCTTTACTAGTTCTATCCCACAGGGGGACCTAGAAACTGTTGGCCTCAAAGGTGTATAAAACATGTTTGTCAACCCCCAGTTGAGGCTCGAGTCGTTGCTCGGCTCGGGTCCAGGCTGGTAATAAACTCCTGTGTGGATTTAATATCGGTCTCTGGTTGGTTCTCTCTCACTGGGTGCAACAACAGCGATGGCAAACCTTTTAGAGACTGAGTGCCCAAACCGAAGCCCCAAACCCACTTATCCATCGCAAAGTGCCAGCACTACAATTAAACCTGAATGCTCAGCTGCTGGAGCAACGTGGCTTGTGTGCCCGTATGCCACAGGTTTGTCACCACTGGTAACAACTCTCATTTTTTTCATTATAAAACAATGCAACCAATTCATCAGAGTAACTTAAATGAAATGAAAAATCACAGCAGCTTGAAAACTGGCAAATTCCTTTAAGCAACTGTCATTATCAGCAGGCAGTTACCACAAACATCACAGCAAGAGCAGCTATGAGAGTGGCGCACATGGAGGGCAAAGAATTAAGCAATAAGAGAATTTAGGATTAAAAAAAGCTACATTTGGTATGTCTGAATCATCTTTTTCATTTTGTTTTGTTTTGTTTTTTGGTGTTCTGACACAAAGTCTCACTGTGAGAGTCAGACTGGCCTTGAAGTCACTCTATAACCCAGGGTGGCCTCAAATGTGTGGTGATCCTTCTGGCTCAGCCTCCCAAGTACTTGGATTACAGGGATGCGCCACCACGACCAGCTACTTTTGAATTCTTGAGCCTTTCTCTATGTCCTACATAGAATGCTTGAATTTGAAAACAATTTCAAAGCATAATTAAAGACAGGTATAGAGGCATGGCTCCACTAAAAAATCTAAATCTATCTTCAACTTGCAGATACAGTGAAGAGTCTGGTTCTTACTTCCTTATTAGCCTGAGAGAAATCACAAAACAAATCTACTTTCAGGGCCAGAAATATGTTTTACCAGTGTTCTCTGACAAGAACGTTCTGAGCACCTACACAGAAAAACAATCAACAGTATGCTTTTTTACTACAGCTTACAGAAAACTTTAAAAAGCTTTATTTCAACTCATGCGCCAAAAAGGTATTGCCCCCCTTTAATCTTTCTTTGCTAGGATGTACGTAAATAACACTGTTACAAAAGCTGCAAGTTTTAGACTTGTCTATATGATGGCCTTCTTTCTTACCTGGCCTGTTAGTGGCTGCCATAATAAAAACCTGCTGTCGTGTTTCCAGACCATCCATCTCTGTAAGTAGCTGATTCACCACCCGGACACTTGCGCCAGTCTAAAAGAAAAACAAATGCACTTCCACCAGCCTTCAGCACAAAGGGAGGAAAAAAAAAACCTCATTTTTTTGCTGTATAAAATAACACATTTGCTAACTTGGATGAAGGCTTTTGTCAAAAGGTAACTAACAATGGCTAGGCACAGAGGTGTGGGCCTGAGGTCCCCAATACTTGGGTGGCTTAAGGCCAAGTGGATCAAAGGTTCCAGGCAAACCTGGCTGACAGCAAGGTCTTGTCACCTTTTCAAAATCAGAAGTTAACCACGAGCATTTCACTCTATACATAAGCACTGTTGCCACACACTAATATGGGCAGACGGCCTGCAACCCTGTCGTTCTTCACAGCCTACACAAGCAAACTAAAGCTGAGAGAGGCTGTACTCCTGGACAGGTGAAGGGTTTATTCACAGAAAAAGAGAAGGGAACAGAAAGGAGTAAAACCCAGACACACCATGCCCAACCAGCTGGACACAGCAAGTGCAACACTATGCTCTGGACTCCATAGGGGACTCTGGAATAGGATGGGGAGCCATGTAAAAAGACATCACCATCAGAGAAGAAATGCAGAACAGATGACTGTGATGGTGTGGACAATGGGCAAGGAGACCAAACTGCTATCATGGGAGTCCTATTTATATTAGTCAATTTTGCAACTTTTGAAAGGGTTTGCAGATTTTTAGGGAAATAAAGTATGTAATAAATGTTTTACAATTGAAGACCCCCTCATACCGATTACATTGTAACTAAATCATAAAAACTTTCTAGGGTACTTATCACTGTCAAACATTCCCAGGTTATAAATTAATGTTATGTTCTACCATGCTTTAAATCTCTATATAACCATACTCCTGATAACAACTGTTTCTGCCACTCTCTGTACTCAAGCAGCTAAGAACTGTGACTCAGTAGGGTTGGTGCAAGTGCTACTTGATGCAGATCAGTATCTTCCCAGACAGCAATGATATTAGGTTTTAAAGCTAATAACTTGCCCCAATTTTGAGTGCTTGATGTCTTAAATTATATTGTCTCAAGAACTTCAACTGAAAGATCATAAAACTACAACATTACAAGGCAAAGTATTCAAAACTACTATCACTTCCATTCCCAATTACTCATTTATGTGAGTCAGGATCACCAAAACATTAAGCAAACAAAATAATACATCAAATAGGCAAATTAGAAAACTTATCTCTGAGGTCTGATTTCAAATTACTACGTCTCTTCATTAAAAGAATCATTATGTTCTCAAGGAATGGCTTTATAAGTACCACCTGACTGAGCACCTACAAAAAGTTTATGGTATGTAAAAACATTTATAAACAAGTCAATGTGATGGTACATACCTCTAATCCCAGCATGGTGGGAGGTTGAGGCAGAAAGATGACAAGTTTGAGCCTAGCCTGTGCAATTTAGCACGACCTGCTTAAAAATTTTTAAAGGGGATTGGGGGATGTATAGCTCTGTGTGAAGGCCATAGGTACAATCCCTAGTACTGCAAATAAGTAAGTGGTAAACTACCAATCGGATACTTGCCTCTTTGTCTGACCTTCGAGGACATAACGCATCCACTTCATCAAAGAATATCACACAGGGTGCTGAGTTCTTGGCTCGCTGAAAAACCTGCCGCACAGCACGTTCACTCTCACCAACATACTAAACATTCAGAGAAGAAATAGCATGGAAAGTTCAACTTTGGGGTTTGGGCCAAATGGTAGTAAAACTAGTTTTAAATCACATTTAGATGCCAGAGCCCAAAATGTATTAAATTAAACCATACACAAGTACTGATATTGAACCATTATCAACATATAAAAGTAGCTAATTGCATATGGTTCAACTCAATATAATTAGCGATTGTGTAAGACTATAAATTTCTTTATAAAATGAAGACCAGGATATAAGGCTTTCTCTAGCTCAAAAACTCCCACAGTTTTGTTGTTTTAGAACTGATCTCTTTGCCTTATACATGTAAAATACCCAATGGTGATTTTCACTAATTCGACAGTATTTTAAAAGTATGCAAATAAAATTACCATCCCATTCTTATTTCTAGTATTTGTCACATGGCAACAGAGAAGTCAAAGTGAACCAATCAGGCATCTTACAGGTTTTATAATGGCTTACTATATGCTAAAATCTAAAGCAAAACATAAAAAACTAAGATCAGTAATATCAAGACTAAGCGCGATGACAAATTATATGTAACAACATGGTTCCACTGTTTAGCTGAGCATAAGAAATTATTCTTGTACAATTCCAAACTACTTAACGAAGAAAAAGCAGTTATTTCTTAATAAAATTTCAAAGGCAGAATCTAAAAATCATCTTTATAATGCCAACTATTTTAAGCCATCATATAATTATTCAATGAGTATATGGCCATAATAATTGAAGAGAAAGCTAGGTGTGATGGTGCATGCCTGTAACCGCAGCACTCAGGAGGCTGAGGTAAGAGGTTCCCCATGAGTCTGAGGCCAGCCGGTACTACACAGCCAGACGCTGTCTCAAAAAATCTTCATCACCAAGGCAAAGACATACATCATAGACAATGGTGATTGAAGTGTTTTAACTTACCATGTGAACAGAATTTTTCCACACATCTATCTCACACATCTCTTTGAACTTTCATTCATTTTCCTTCCCTTATATGAATAGCTTTTCTAATTCGCCTCCAAACATTTCTTCATGCAATCTAAAAGACCCCATTAATTATTCTTCTTATTAGTATGTACTTTGCTCTTTCAACACTTTATACTATTATATAACATTTGAGCTCTTCTACTTTCACCATTAGTATAAAGTCCTTGGGGAGCAAAAGTCACATCTTTTTCAGTTTTCTCTCTGATAACACCCTGGACAACGTTAAGTATGATATACTCATTTTCCTCAAAAATCAAACCTAGGGCTGGGGATTTAGCTCGGTGGTTTTGGCGCCTGCCTTGCAAGCACAAGGTCCCGAGTTTGATCCCTGGTATAAAAGAAAAAAAAAAGGAACTGAGGAAGATAACAATAGGATCTTTTTGTTTTTGGCACCAGGGATCAAACTCGGTCTTGCGAGGCAGGCGGTGGAACCAGTGATCTAACCCCCCCCCCCAATTCTTTATTAGCCGTTCAGTTGTCAGCCATTATGATCTGGTTCTGGCAAGGCCCATTACTGAGAATATTCTCTCTAAACTCACCAAATGCAGCATTCTACTCTCAGCTTCTTTCATGCTGCCTCTCAAGTTGACCGTTTTGGCTTTTGGGGTTAGACAGTCTTAAGTGTCCCCTAACACTTGAACAACCACTTTTGGTCTCCTCTCCAATTCTTATTTCCTTTTTCTGAATTATCAACATGCTCAGGGTTGCCACTAGGCCCCCAACATACTAGTTCTAGCAGAACTTGTTCACCTATTCTGAGAATTTTAGGTATAACTTAGCTGATACTGACTCCTAACACTCTTCAGCGCTCCAGACTGACATTCTCTACTATGTGCAGGACATTCCCAAGTGGCTAAATATCCTAGAGCAAATTCATTTTCTATCCTTCAGATGTCCCTCTCCCTGGCTAGATCATCTAATCAATATCTCAGAGTCATCCTGCACTTTTCAGACTTCCTCCCCTACTGACCCTGAAAAAGCAAACCAGAATACATTGGAGAGATAAAATTTCACACTCATCACACTGGCAAAAAATGTAGCAATCTGGCGGGGATTTAGCTCAGTGGTTCCAGTGCCTGCCTCGCAAGCACAAGGTCCCGAGTTCGATCCCCGGTCCCCCTACCCCCACCCCTGCCAAAAATGTAGCAATCTGACACCATCAGTGCTGGTGAGGATGTGGAACAATCTGACACAACTATTTCATGAAAAAAGTTTGCAATACCTAATATTTTTGAAAACGCATACTTCTACTTAAAGGTATAACGTATACTTTTTTTTTTTTTGGTACCAGGCATCGAACTTGGGACCTTGCACTTGCGAGGCAGGCGCCGGAACCACTGAGCTAAATCCCCAGCCCTTGGTATAATGTGTACTTTACAGGTAAAAATCCTGTAAATATGCCCACGGATATATGAATATAATGTTCAATGTAAATACAGGGAAAAAAAAAATCAAGAAAAAATATCCTGATTTTTAAACAGTGTGGCTATACTCATTCAGTGGAACACCAAACAGAAAATTAGTAAACTAGAAGTAAATGTAGCAACAAAGGTAAATATTAAAAATTTCCATCAAAAATAAACAGTAGGGCCAGGGATTTAGCTCAGTGGTTCCAGCACCTGCCTTGCAAGCGCAAGGTCCCGAGTTCGATCCCCAGTACCAAAAAAAAAATAAACAGTAAATTGCACTGCAAAAGAATACTAGCTACTTAAGTAACCTATTTTGCTTTTGCTTTATTATAGACCTGCAAACATCACTGTGTAAACATGGTAGTGTATGCATCCTATTACTCAGCTTCAATTATTATCAACTCCACTCACGACTAATCCCGAGTCATCTGTATCCCTTTCTGATTTTCTTTCCAAATTTTATTTGTAAATATTTTAGTATCTCTGAAAAATAGTGATTTTAATATAACTGCATCATCACACTTAAAATTATGTACTTGGGGCTAGGCATGTCACTCAGTGGTAGAGTAGATACTCGGCATGCACAAAACCCTGGGTTCTATCCTCAGCACCACCACCAATACACAAAATATTTATATATACACATAAATACAAGTAAATGCAGAATATCCAATAAGTACTCCTAAACTTCATACTTTAGAACATATAACATAATACATACTGTATAGGGATAATATGTATACACATAATACAGAAAGAAACATATAGGGCCAGGGATGTAGCTCAGTGGTATAAGTGGGGAGTCCTAAATTCGATTCCTGATACAATAAAAAAAAGACAAATTAGGGAGGGTCTGGAGAAACCAAATGTGTTTAAACTGGGTTGTAAAGATATATGGAGGTCTGTTATACTATTCTTTACAATTTCTTGAATATCTGAAATATTTTATAATAATTTTTTAAAATGCAGTACAGTCTCAACAAAATGTCACTCTCCTGCTCTAAAGGCCCTATCAGCATATTCTGAAGGCAGCATGCAAAGGCAGCTTGCTGTAAGGCCACCTCGCTGGCTGTAACCTTTTCGTCCAACCTCATATCCCATCAACCCCTCCTTTCAAGCACCTCTTCCACCACAAGGTCAAAATGAAGTACAAGAAATATAAGGCAGGGTATTGCTATAACCCAAGCACTCTGGGAGGCTGAGGCAGGAGGCTTCTAAGTTCAAGCCTAGGTGGGCAGTTCATCAACTTACCAAAACCCTGTCTTGAACCCCCCCCCCCAAACATAGCTAGGCATGCTGTACCTCGGTGTCAAGGGCCTGGGTTCCATTCCCAGTGCCCCTGCCCAAAGTAAGCAAATACATAAAACACCCATGGTAAATACTTTCCCCTTCAAACAAGGGATTTATACTTAAGTAACATTTAATGGAAAAGATTTTTTTAAATGGGAGGGACCTGGGGCGTAGTTCACTGGTACAGTCCTCGCCAAGCATGCATGAGGTGCTGGGTTTGAGCCCCAGCACAGGGATTGGGCAGAGGGACTGCTGTTCTGTTCTGCAGTATTAGACAACCTTGAGCATGCCAGGCAAGGCTCTACCACTGAACTATATCCCAAGTCCCTATTAATTATTTTAATTTATTTTTAAAAATTACTTTATTTGAGTATATTGTACTGAATGCCAGTTTTTACTTTACACAGGGACAACAGGAAATAAATTAAAAATCTGGGTGAGGGGCTGGGGATTTAGCTCAGTGGTTCTGCCGTCTGCCTCGAAAGCGTAAGATTCCGAGTTCGATCCACGGTACCAAAAATAAAACAAAATAAAAAAGTTAATTTAGCCGGGGGTGGTGGCGCATGCCTGTAATCCCAGAACTCAGGAGGCTGAGGCAGGAGGATCACCTCGAGTTCAAGGCCAGCCTGGGCTACATAGTGAGCTCAGGGCCAGCCTAAACTACAAAGGGAGACCCTGCCTCAAAAAACAAACAAACAAAAAATCTGGGGTGGGAGGGCAGTACCAGGGATTGAACTCATGTTAGGCAAGTATTCTACCACTGAGCTACATCCTCAGCACCCCACCACCTTAAATTTTGAGATAGGGTCTTGATAAGTGGGTTGCCCAGGCTGGCCTTGAACTTACAATCTTCCTGCCTCAGCCTCCCAGAGTGCTGGGATTACAGACATGCACTCCAACTCAAAGACTTTTTAATTTGAAATGTAAACTGCATAAATATAGAGGGAAGATATAAGCACTATTAACTGTTCGCCCTAAAGTGTTATATTAATATTTAACTCCTCTAAGCCACACAACAACAGGACAAGGTGAGCAGGTTAGGAGCCAGGCCATGTGGGTTCAGTCTCAGCTCCACCACAGTGCTTCCTAGCCAGCGAATTCTGGCGTCACTGAGCCTCCCCACAATGAGGTTCCTACCCGTGTATGAGAAGGGAACGGCTCATGCCTCATATGGCTATTCAACAGTAATGCGCATGTACCTGGTTTGACAAATATATGACACAGAGTAAACACATTAAATGTTAGTGACTTGAATATTATTTCCACTTTGCAGGGGCAGAAACACACTCCAAGTAGTAGAGCAGGGCCAGGGATGTAGCTCAGCAGTGCCTCATCTACAAGGTCCTGAGTTCGATCCCAAGTACCAAGGGGAAAAGAAAAAAGTAGTAGAGCAGAGCAAAGCTCAACCTCCTCACTCCTACAGCAATGAGTCTATCAAAATACCATAACTGTTCCAAGATCTAAGAATGTATTATCCTGTAATTTGAAAGATCATTATTTTTCCTAATTAAAATAATGGCTAATGCCACAACTTACCATATTCAGTAATTCTGGGCCCTTGACAGATATAAAATTTAGTCCAGACTCATTTGCCACAGCCTAGCAAGAGGAAACAAAGACACACGTAAGAAAAATATGTAACAAAGTAATAGAAAGAGTTTTAAATCTTTTCCTCCTTTGTTATATAGTTGCTTCTTTCTTCTTCTTTTTATTTATTTACATTTTGGTACCTGGGATCGAACTCAGGACCTTGTGCTTGCAAGGCAGGCACGGTGCCACTGAGCTAAATCCCCAGCCCTGTTTCTTTCTTTTTAGAAGGAAAAGTGACAAAGGAAATAAAAAGTCAAAGGAAGTAAATGTTAGCTTACAACTTTCTAAGAAATGCTAAGACAAGCATCACATCAAATGGAAGTATTTGTAAGTATTTTGTTTATAAAAGCATGCTTGGGCCAGGGATTTAGCTCAGTGGTTCCGCCGCCTGCCCCACAAGCGCAAGGTCCCGAGTTTGATCTCTGGTAACAAAAAAAAAAAAGAAAAGAAAAAAGCATGCTTTACCGCACTGTAATTACATTTTAACTCTAGTCTGGAATTCCAATGAGATCCCAAACTGTGAACTAAAGAAATGTTCTGTGCAATGAATGTAGTCTTTTTTTTAATCTACAAACCAAAATTAAAAAACATCAGTATCAGTTTACCAAGGCTCAACACTGAGAAACACATAAGTACAGAGGAGTTTTAACAACTATAATCTGTACGCAAAGATGAAACCTAAATAAAATCAGAGTTTAAAAATCACCAGAGCAGGAGCTGGGGATGCAGCTCACTGGCGCAGCACCTGCCTAGCACATGTGAAACCCTGGGTTTGATCCCCAACGCCACAAAAAATAAGTACAAAAATAATAACAAAATCCACCAGGGGACAGAGTCCTTTCTATAGAACTACAGAACCTGTTAGGTCCAGCTCAACATATCCCATACTACTGCATGTGGATGGCACAGGTATTCAAACCATCATTTGCCGACAGGACTCCTGGCTCGCACTCTCCCAACGCCTTCCAACCCCACACCCATTTGTGCCACCTCACTGGGTACAAGGTCTCTCCTTGCCTGGTCCTGTCGCCCCACTATCTGTCAGTCTATTAGCAACAATGCTCACGTACAAGTGGGTCCGATACCTTTTCTATTTCTCCTCTATTCTACCACTTCCATCCACACTTCAATCCTCTTCTGCGTGGACAGGTAAAAAGCCCTTAAAGGGTTTCTTTTCATTCCTGCTTTCTTCCAATCCATTCTCCACACATTGATCAGAGTACATCTTGAAAAAAATGCAAAGTAGATCCCTTGTTCACCACATGTCCTTTCTATCCTCAGATGCCATGTGACACATCAACCACAGCTCACACCTTGGGACTAACAGCTCCTCCTTAGTCCAACACCTGCTCCTTCTCTGGTTCTCAAACTCCCTCTGCCCTTCCCACCTCAGGGCTACTGCTGCTTTTTGCTTTTTTCTTGTTGCACAACTTAATGGGTCTCTTTTTGGCAGATTTGCAAATGCATATATAGACTTTGATCATTTTCATGCCCCTAGCTTCTTACTCTGTTGGCCTGTCCAGTTTCTCATGGGGTGGGAGTGGGAGGGTCTGTCCAATGCATATAATAGACAACCTTGGGGCTTCCCTAAGTGCTTTTCCCTCCACCTTCTTCCCTGATTCTTCATGAGACTAGCTGGTTCTTCAAGACTATTTGGAAGAAGTCACCATCCTGTGAATATCACGATCAAAGAAGCCATCTTCCAACTGCCTGGTCAAAACTCACCCAAATCTGTAATTTTATCATTTTACTCGTTTGCTGCTGTTCTCTTTCAAGTGAAGAATTTTATCCGTGATGCACCTTGTTCACTATTTTATCCCTACACCTCAAATAATGTCTGGCAAAGGTAGGTATAATAAATGCTTGATGTGCCAATGACTTGAACACATGCTCTGCCCTGTAAATGCTGCTGCATGGAGCTGGGCACAGAGGTATACATCTGTAATCCCAGCACTGAGGGAGGTTGAGTAAGGAGGATCAAAAGTTTGAGGCCAGCCTGGGCAACTTAATGGGACCCTATGTCAAAAAACAATTTTTTTGAAGGCCTGGGGATGTAGCACAGTGGTAGTGTCCCTGGGATTAATACCTGGCATCGCCCCTCCTCCCCCCAATAAAAAACAAAACAAGGGCCGGGGATTTAGCTCAGTGGTTCCACCACCTGCCTCGCAAGCACAAGGTCCTGAGTTCAATTCCCGGTACCAAAAAAAACCCAACCAACACAGAAAGACACAACACAAAACCACAAAACTGCTCCATAGGTGGATTATCCATACCTCTCATCCTTTCTCTTTTCTGCTTCCAGTTTCAAGTCCTTCCTACCTCCTGCTCAACATTGTAAGTAAAGGAGAAAAGAGATTCACAGAGTTACTCACCCACATCAGGTTTTCAACACCTACATGCCAGGTAACCAAGATTTAACCCTCTGAAACCCCAAATAGTTCCTGAAATGAGTGGAAACCTTTTTTTTTAGATAGGGTCTTTCTACATAGTTCAGGCTGGTCTTAAACTTACTACAAAGCCCAGGCTGGCCTCAAAGATCCTCCTGATGCTGGGAATACAGATGTGTGTCACAACACCTGATTTTTATTTTGCCTTCTAAATAAAACACAGGGAACAAAATCTAACTTTCCCTCCTGTTGTCAATTGATGGATGTTAATGATGACCCCTCACTCACTATCAGGACTCTGCTTCTGTACTATGCATTTTCAGATAACCCACTGGTATTTCTTGTTTTCTTTGCAGTTTCTCTCTCATCAGTCATGAATTTCAATGTGCTGACTCCAGCAATCGGAAGCCTTTACCTTATGCTGTTTATATACTTTGTACATGTTGCTGCTTAGAAATATTATTTTATTGTTACAACTAAACAAAGCAAGCAAGATTGGCAAAAATCCTAATTTTATATCCAACTCTAGATCTTCAGGTCCTGACATTTATGTGGTTCCATGATTTTCAAATAGGTAACACTTTGCCTCTGCAATTCAAAGACATTTTCAGTTATTTTGGGGTTCTCAGGCATGCTGCTCTGTAAACATCTGACGTAAGCTGTGAACATTATTCCCGAGAAACAATATGTACACATACAATATTCTGCCTGCTCACAGATCCAGTGAAGCTGGGGAGTCCTTCCATGGAGTCGTAGGTAAAGGTCACTGCTCCAAAGTCAGATACCAGAAATTTTAATTAAACAGAATGGTACAGAACTGTCAGCCATTTGACGGGGGAGCCCCTGGACCAATGATATTTATGTATGGATCTCAAATTATCCAACCTATATCCCTTGTTGTTAAAGGGAAAACAAATTTATTCACAATTTGGCCAAATCAGGAGGGCAGCTAGTTCACTCTCCTCAAACACAGAGAAGCAGTTCAGCTATAGGAAGAATAGATGGAAAGCCAGGACATATGCACATGGGGAATGCAGCCAGGCTATGGGGCCCACCAGTGTGCCCAGCAAGATCTTCAGATTGCAGTGCTGCTGAGACCTTCTTGGTGTAAGGCCTGGCAGTGCCAGTTTTGCTCCTAGCCTGGGGAAGATAAAGAAACAGCTTAACTTTAAGCTCCATCAACTTCTCTGTGATCTGGTCCTACCCTCAACCTTGAGGGACCTGGGGCACCAGGTCAGCTAGTTGGCTGCTTATTGTTAAGACTGTTGCGGAGTTGCCATCAAAGATATCTGGGGTACAGAAGTAAACAGAGCCCGATGCTTGAGCCCAAAAACAGCATTCATGACTGTGGAGCAGTGCTGGGACTATCTCCTTTCTGCTGTGAATAAGACTGATGTAACTGATGAACAGACAGGAATAACTGACTAAAAATCAACAGACAAGTGCACCACCTGTTAACCTCACCCACCACATGCAGCACTGCCTCTCTACTATATTTCTCTAGAACTTTTGTGAGCATGGTGGAACCTGTAATCCCAGCACTTGGGAGGCTGAAGCAGGAGGATTGCCACAAGTTGGAGGCCAGCCTGGGCCAATAGTGAGTTCAAGCCCTGCAATACATAGTGAGACTCTGTCTCCAAAAAAAAAGCCTGTTGTGAAACAATGCAGATCTTTCAAATACTATGTTGCTCCCTGCTCCTCCATCCCCAGCTCCCTGACAGCATCGTCTTGTCAGGGTACAAAGTTTAAGGCAAGGAAATTCAGTAATCTAAGTAAAAGTAAGGCTTGTACATGGGACACATTTACTGAGGAGTTACAAATTATCTAGCTATTGTGGTAGTCACTTAAAGATGCTATTAAATTCCTTATTTGTAATCTTAAAGAAACCAGACTGAAAAACTTACCTATATAACAATGAAATAAACAAGAAAATGCAATGTGCCAAAACATGATTAATAAAGTTAGAGGCAAAACTGAATTGAAAAAATTTACAAATATAACAGATATTAATCTGACTATAAATGAGAAACAAGCCAATAGAAAAAGACACGAGCAGACAATTTACAAACAAAAATAGCCAATAAACATATTTTAGGGCAGGGGATTTAGCTCAGTGGTTCTGTCGGCTGCCTCGCAAGCACAGGGTCCTGAGTTCAATCCCCGGAACCAAAAACCAAAACCAAAAAACAAAACAACATTATTTTAAAAATCTTCTACCAATAATTTCTAAGATACAACTTAGAAACTGTAAGATAACCATTTTTACTTATCAGACTATCAAATATTAGAAATTTTAATGGCCATTGCAAATTTAGGGTATGAGGAAATTGATATTTACACCATATTGACAGGGATCTGGTATAAACTTTTACAAAGACACCCGATAATATGGCTCAAAAACTTTAAATACAGAGCCTGGGATTTAGCTCAGTGGTTCTGCCGCCTGCCTTGAAAGCACAATGTCCCAAGTTCAATGCCCGGTACCAAAAAACAAAAACAAAAACAAAAAACAACTTTAAAAACATATACTCTTCATGTGAAAAACTAGGAATACAGACAACTCAATGGAAACTTTTTTTTCCTTTTTGGGTACTAGGGATTGAACTCAGGACCTTGCACTTGCAAGGCAGACGCAGCATCACTGAGCTAAATCCCTGGCAGGAATACATTCTAATAAAATTATTAGTCAAGGTATAAAAATGTAAGTAAAAGATTATATAATGTAATGATTTTAATACAGAATCATCAGCATAAATTATACAACGTCTTTATGGTAAGATATTATCTAGGTATTAAAAATATCGACATGAGAAAAGTTTAAGCCCTGTACTTATAAAAATGTGTGTGAGTGTATCATCTTAAGCTGGGTGTGGTGGCACACGCCTATGACCCCAGTGCTGTGGAGGCTGAGGCAGGAGGATCACCAAGAGTTCCAGGCCAAACTGGGCTACACAGTGAGTTCAACGTCAGCCTGAACTACATACGAAGAACCCATCTCAAAAAAATAAACAAGTAAATATATTATCTTGCATCTGGTCTTTTATTTTTCCTACTGGGGACTAAATCTAGGGCCTTCAAAACAAGCTATGCCCCCAGCCCTTTTTTAATTTTGAGACAGGGTCTCAACAAGTCATTAAGTTGCCCAGGCAGCGTGCAAATTTACAATCCTCCTGCCTCTGCTTCCCACAGTGCTGGGACTGTAAGTGCGGGGCACCATCCTTGGCTATATGTACGCACAGAAAACATCTGGAAAGACTGACAATAAATGAAACAGTGACTGGCAGTAGGTAGAAATGGGAAGATTTACAAACAACGCCTCTTCCTTTTGCTTTATTTATATTTCCTATAGTGAAAAAGTAATTTTTAAAAACTGTAAGGAAAATACTTAAGTTATAATAATTGTACCAAAGCAGAAACCAAGCATCAGTGACAAACTACAACTATGTAATAATACTTACTAAAAGCTAGAATATAATATACAGAAATAACTACCATGCTAAAATTGATGGACTTTTCAATGACTTTTGCCATTTAAAAAGTTGGAATTTTCCTGAAGAAAACTGTTACAAAAACATTTATCTCAGTGTAAAAGGTAAAGATAAATTCATACTATTGTTTGAGATTAAGAAATAAAATACACATAATTGAACACATACTGTACCTTTGCCAGCAGAGTTTTCCCACAGCCAGGAGGACCAGCAAGGAGGACTCCAGCTGGAGTCACCAGGCCAAGAGCCTTGAACTGGTCTGGGTTGCGTACCGGTGCCTGGAAAGAACAAGAGATACAACCCTGATCCAGTAAATGTGTCTGTATTACACCACATGCACAAGTTTATCTCAACACACATTCTCAACACGGATGGCACTGGCAAAGTCTGAACGAGGCCCACTCTACTTCCCTCTGTAAAGGAGGGCCTGGGTACAAGGTGAACCCTACCCCTTGACCCTGAGTAATGACTTAACTAATAACTCACTGGAAAAGGGAGGAAACGAGTATACACAGTCAAGTCAGTTTGGACTCACAACCTGGAGGCAAACACGTAACCTCACCTCTGGTCCTCAGGCCATCGCATATGCCAATGACAGCAGCAGCAGATACACCTACCAGTATGGCCATGGTGAGCTCTTCTCTAACATCTTCCAGAGCACCAATGTCTGCCCAAGTCACATTGGGAACAGTGACAAAACCTTCCCTTTTGGCAGAGGGTTGGACTGAGGCAAGAGCAACAGTGAAGTCATTCAATTCAATGCACAGTCCTTGCATCTGCTCCTCTGAGAGGGGGTCTTGGTCTCTTAGCAACCTCAGCAGCCTTTGCAATTCATCCTTAAGGGGAACAATTGAGGGAGAAAATCTTTAAATCACAAGGTCTGTTTAAGTTACATATTATATTTTTGAAACTTATTACTCCTTATTCTGTAACTTAGAGTGGACTGCTATGTATTTTAGTAATTTTCTTTCTTTGACACAAGACTTAGGTTTGTTTTATTCTAAATGGGTCATATGCCTGGTCAAGCAAAGGTATATCAATTTCATACCACCAAATATATATAATTTCTACATACTCTACTAGGGCTAGATGTAGTGAACCCAAGAAGTTGGCAAATATTCATTCCATTAACCATGATATGTCCCATTTCATTAACAAATATTAATGAAGCAGCTGAATACTGATATCAAGGAGCTCTGACAATATAATTTCATTGTATGGTTCCCTGATACTTTATTAAATAAGTACAGAGTATGCAATTTTCCTAGCACTATAAATCTTGAATTTTAGGGGTAGATTTCTTTGTAAAGAACATGAAAAGAAAGGATAAAATAAGTAAACTTAAGCAACAGCCCCTTTCCATATTTGCCAGTGTCAACCTCAGCACAGGTGGAGTGTGTCTGAAGCAGGTCAAGGTTAAGCTTCCACCACAATGTTTTTACATTATGTTTTAACAGTTACCACTGAACATTATTAGAAGTTCAGCAGGTATGACAGGTAGTAGAACTACCTCAGAAGTAACACTGGGACAATACAGCTTTGACAAAGGAATGCTAATGGAATGTACAAAGAGGGATCAAAAACTTAGTGAATGTTTAAAGTTTTAAAAACTTGTTACAGGAAAAGGCGGTAGAGCCCAAGAATGATGGGTTCGAAATGAGGGGGGTATTCTGAGGGGGTTAGTGATGATGTGCGCTTTACTGTAAAAGAATCTTTATTTAAACATTCACTGTATTTCTAATTACAACTCCATCAACCATGTACAGCAATTTCTATGAAATAAAAACATTAGAGCATGTCCCTCATCAATCTTATTCACAGGTCTGGCACAGAGCTATTTCTGTCTCTCCCCTAAAGTCAAAGTGATCACGAAAGGTAAATCTTTCGACTACTGAGGCAGGCAAGGCACTGCAGAGACATGAAGAGGACTTCCAGATCTGCTTCAGAAAATGGCAAGAGCTATGAAGCAAGGGGATATATTTAGAGGGGATTAATAGCAATGTGAGTTTTGTTTTGTTGAGACAGGGTCTTGCTACATAGCTCAGACCAGCCTTGAATGCACTATGTAGTCTAGATTGGCCTCCAACTCCTCGCAATCTTCCTGCCTCAGCCTCCCGAGTGCTAGGATTGCAGGAGTGCACTATCACATCCAGCTTTAAAAATAAAATCTTTAACAGTGTTTGTAAATACACCTTTGAGTCTGGGAGTGTTTCAAGATGACCTTATATTTATAATAACAGAGGGCAATATTCTTCATCTTCAATCAGCAGTAACAAGCTGTGCTCGGTTACCCTGAGTGACTTTTAATCTGCACTTGTTTATTTTTGTGTTCAAGCACAGTGCTTCATTATTTTGAATAATGATCTGAATTGCTTTTTCGCCCCAAAGTTTGTTCTGACCATGGAGGTGTGATGCTCCACTTCCTGCAGTTGCCCTCTGTCCTGCTAAATCTGGAAAATGACTAAAATAGATTTTGCAGTGAGCACAGAATATATCTCCTTTTCAGAATGAAAGTTTTGCTTCATAAGAAGAAAATAATTCAATTTAAAAAATATTTTTAAAAATTCTAATTTATATGTAATATAAAAGGAAGTTTATTATCATTATTAACAGAAATGACATTGGCTTCAAATAAGGAAAAACCAAACGATCAGAAAACAGAAGATCTGGCTTGAACACCTCTCTGTAGAGTCCATGTAGCCCTGGAAAGTCAGCCAACCTCATAGTCTTGGATGATAAAAAGCAGAAAGAGTATTTCCTCCACAAGACTATGCCAATCAAATCATATAGTAGCCAGAAGACCATTGTGCAAACTGTAACAAAATTCTATGGAGGGCCGGGGATGTAGCTCTGTTGTGCCACCACCGAGTTCGATCCCCGGTACCAAAAAACAAAACAAAACAAAACAAAAAACCCAACAGTGGGCAAAGGGCCCACTGTTCTCCAGAGTGGATTACAGCTGGGGAAAATAAATTGGCTGCATCAGCACGCTCTCCTAGTTTACTTAATCAAAAGTTAACCAGAAAAATTACCCTAAGTACCAATGCCCTAACATGTGGCAAACTGTTCTGTAAGGGACTAAATCTCGCTAGTGACACTTAAACTGAAGAAAACATAAAGAATATCCAAGGGCCGGGGATTTAGCTCAGTGGCACTGCACCTGCCTCATAAGCACAAGGTCCTGAATCTGATCCCCAAAAGAATATTCAAAAGCGCACCTGTGTTTCCGAAGTGGGCTCTGTTTCCAGCCTTTCCCCCTGGCCGCCTCTGCCCTCAGGGCCTCCTCTTTGTTGCTTCTGCAGCTTCATCAAGGCCCTGTTCACTGCACATACGGCTGCCTCTCGGCAAAGTGCCATCAGATCGGCACCAACAAAGCCTGGTGTCAGATGTGCTAAGTGGCAAAAATTGAATGTTTCAGGAAGTCTCAGTTTTCGGCATAAAGTTTGAAGTATTCTGTAGAAAAGACAAGGAAAACATTTCAAATTCCTAACCTAATAGTAGAAGCAAGTCACCAAATATATTTATTTGAAGTTCTTTACATGTATTAAACTGTCAGTGGTATCATAAGAACTACAAGGTCAAATAATTCATTTACCACTCAACAAGTGCTAAATTAAATTACATGTCTGACCTTATTCCAGAAAGGATAACGCCAGATATCCTTTTTTAGGAACTATGCTAAGTCTTGTGAGCAACAGAAAGGCAGATTTTAAAAAATATTTAAGAATTTTATAAATTATTACACAGGAGATAAGATAAATAACTTGTGGGAGCACTGTTTTTTTCTTTTTTAATTAAATTCTTTTATTGGTACATTTGAGGTATACAACACAATTACATTTCTCATTGGGAATTGTACCTTTACATAATGCATCTTGGTTCTTATCT